GGCTTTGTTTTCACAACAATAAATTTTGTGATGATGTTTGGATTGATGTACAGCATAGATGTGTTTACCTGGAAGTGGTGATATCCAAACTCTTCTTCTTGTGGAAACGTCACGCTTCCAAAGGTAAGGCTTTGTTTTCACATCAATAAATTTTGCAATGATGTTTGGATTGATGTACAGCATAGATGTGTTTACCTGGAAGTGCTGATATCCAAACTCTTCTTCCTATGGAAACGTCACGCTTCCAAAGGTAAGGCTTTGTTTTCACATCAATAAATTTTACAATGATGTTTGGATTGATGTACAGCAGAGATGGGTTTACCTGGAAGTGCTGATATCCAAACTCTTCTTCCTATGGAAGCATTACGCTTCCAAAGATAAGGCTTTGTTTTCACAACAATAAATTTTGTGATGATGTTTGGATTGATATACAGCGTAGATGTTTTTACCTGGAAGTGGTGATATCCAAACTCTTCTTCCTGTGGAAACATCACGCTTCCAAAGGTAAGGCTTTGTTTTCACAACAATAAATTTTGCGAGGTACATAATAAAAGAAAGAGTGAATGGTATTGAGAATTCATCGGAGGTGGAAGTGATATGGGAATACCAAAGGTGGCTGGAAAAAAATTAAAATTTGGAGCTATATTTAAAAATTTAGAAAGTGAAATTAATTCCATACTTAAAGGTTTCAAATATTGTCATGTAAAAACCAAATAATTCTGGAAATGAATGGTTAGCTCTAAATGATCTGAAAAATAATGAAAACATTATTAGTTTAGTAGAACTTGACTTTGTACATCTCTGCAGTGGGCAGAGCACAGGTAGCCCACTGTGTAGATATGTGCTTTACAACAAAATAAATACACAAGCTTTAAATCTACTGCTTTGCAATTGCACGTTTCTGTGACAGATTCTGTGTTGTGAGTGATTACTTCCACTTTTAGCACTCATTGTTATATTTCTCTCTCTTAGTATTAGCTCTGAATTTCTGACACTAATGAAGAAGGTGGCCAAGTCACCACTTGTGATGGATGTACTAAACATTCCTGGTGTCCAGAGGTCACTAGAGAGACTTGCAGACTTGCTCGGGAAGATACAGAAAGCCCTTGGAGAGTACCTAGAACGAGAACGTTCTTCCTTCCCAAGGTAAAAAGTGTTTTCTTGAAACATGCTAGAGAGAACTCTTATTTTTGAAACATATTTGTTTAATGAAATGTAAAGGAGTGAGTCTTTTGTAAGTTTATAGTCAACACTACGTCTTAGTGTGATTAATACTCTTTTCCTCTGTACATTAGCTGTTTTTTGCTTTATTTTGTAGAGCAGTTAAGTTGTGAGTGGGAGAAGTTTAATTTTAATTTTATGAATTTCTTAAAAACAAAAAGTTGTGTCATTGTTCAAAACTTCAAACTGAGCCACATTTTAATGACAATGTTGGGTTTTCAAGAAAAGATACATAGCTAGTCTGAGGTGTTGCATTTGTAACATTTCAGAGATTCTAATAATTGTTGTATTTCACCTGAGACTGATTCTATAACACTTGTGCTTCTTCATTGCTTTCTACATATTTTATGTTTTCAGCTGTTGAATTTTTAAGCTATAATTACTTTTAATATGTACAAATAATATCACTTTTTCAGATGTTATTTCATTCCTCAGATTTTACTTCAGTGATGTCCCATGTTTGCTGATGTTTATAACTTACTAGTTTACTGGTGTGTCATTTATGATTTTCTGGTTTTGTTTAATTATTGTTATTTGTTTGTATTACTATTATGATTTTTTAGGTTTTGCTTTGTTATTAGTACACTTTTAGTTTTTCTATAACTGGATTTTGTCTGGTTTTCTTTGGTTATACTTCAATATTTTCTTATAAAAAATGTAATTAATTAGTACTTTTCTAGTTCTGTTTTATTTTGTAACAATTCTAGTTAATACTTGTTTCTACTGGACTGTAATTTTAATATTTTTCTTACCATTTTTCAAAAATACAGTTTATTCAATATATTACATAGTTATTTATGGGATATTTGTAAATGACTATTCTGCTTTGCCACCCACCCCTCCCCCTAGTGGCGCCTGAAGGCTTATAATGCTAAAAACTGGTTTGCAATACCCGTGGAAGGCACCACACAAATAGCCCATTGTGTATCTGTGCTTAACGATAAACAAACTGGTCTACTTTGTTAGTTGTTACCTTGTTTCTTTAAATATTTTACAGTTTATACCTGTTTCTTACAAGTTTTCTGGTTTTTCTCAGGTTCTATTTTGTGGGAGATGAAGATTTGCTTGAGATTATTGGTAACAGTAAGAATATTCCACGGCTTCAGAAGCACTTCAAGAAAATGTTTGCAGGAGTTGCAAACATTTTGCTGAATGAAGACAACACAGTAGTGGCTGGCATCGCATCCAAAGAGGGGGAAGAGGTAAGGGTTGAAATTAAATTTTATAAACATCATTTCAAAGTAATCTCTCTATTCAAGATATATATGATTGTGGGACGTTTTTTTTACGTAGAAAACGTACCCTTTAAAAGTTTTCTTTCAAGAATAGTGTTGTGTGATATGGTATTAACCTCATTTAAGGTTAATCTTAATGTGTGTGTTGTTTTTTTTTTGTTTTGTAGGTTAAATATTTGACTCCTGTGTCTATTGCTGAACATCCAAAGATCAATGAATGGTTGTCGTTAGTTGAGAAGGAAATGAGAATGACACTGGCTAAGCTGTTAGCTTCTGCTGTCTCAGATATTGTTCCATTTAAGCAGGGAACATTTAAACAAGCAGATTACATGAATTGGTTGGACAAATATCAGGTTTGTTTTGATTTATACAAAGTCATTGGGAAATGAAAACTTATTGCTTTTTGATTTAAAACCATTTTTAACTTTTTTTTTCTTTGTTCTTAACATTACAGAGCAGTACTTATCCAGGCTTTTGTACATACTTCAGAATTATTTTAGTTTATTTTGAAATATACTTAGAATGGTCTTATTTTGAGTTATAAGTGATATATATTTGTTGAAATACCTGTAGATTTTTAGTGATAAATAAGATACTATACTGATTTAATATAATCTTTTTTCTTACACACATTTACTTCCATGGATTCATGCTTGCTCTATGGTTCCACAAGTAGGGTAATAGAATCTGCTTTGAAGAACATAAATATACATTCGTATCAGTCTAGGTGTGTTCTTAATATTAATTATTTTTTAGTTACCTTTCTTTTTATATTTTGGTAATAGTATTTTTCTTTTTTTTGAATTGTTCTTAGATTTACAGATTATTTTATTAAAAAACATTTGTACTTGCAGACACAGACTGTGGTATTGGCAGCACAGATTTCATGGTCAGAAGATATTGAAAATTGTCTTCAAACCATAGCAAACAATAATGACAACAACTTGAAGCCTCTGGAGGATGTACTACAGGCTGTTGAATCAACATTAAACATTTTAGCTGACTCTGTGCTCCAGGAACAGCCTCCTGTTCGCAGAAGGAAACTGGAACATTTGGTAAATCCTCATTCCAGGAATACATGTTTCAGTATAATGTAATTTAACTTCAGGATTAAAATTTCCACTAAAAAAATAAGTAATATAATTCAAATTACTGTTATTAAGATCTTGGTGTTTCTGGGCTTTTAGATAACCGAATTTGTCCACAAGAGAGATGTGACCAGGTCACTTATAAAGAAAAAAGTGACCAGTCCCAAGTCCTTTGAGTGGCTCAGCCAGATGCGTTTCTATTTTGACCCCCGGCAACCAGATGTGCTTCAGCAGTTGTCTATTCACATGGCTAATGCTAAATTCAACTATGGTTTCGAGTACCTTGGAGTACAGGAGAAACTTGTGCAGACCCCACTCACTGATCGTTGTTATTTGACCATGACCCAGGCTCTGGAATCTCGGTTGGGTGGCTCTCCTTTTGGTAAGGGCACTATAGTTTAATCTTTGTTATCAATCTTTAAGTTGATAGTAAATAGAAACAAAATTAGTAAAAAACACAATCTTTCTCTCTCCCCCTCTCTCATATGCATGTGTGAGTGCATAATTCTTTTTAGTCATGAAATCTATAAAATATGTTTGAAAATGGCAACATTTGTGGTTACACTAATATAAAATGATAAACTTTGTATAAGAATCTATATCATTTAGGACTATAAACCCATTGAATGAGAAACAGATGTTTCATGGTCTGTTCTGTTAAATTTTGGATGACTGAGAAACGTTTTATTAAAATTTTGGCCTATCCTTTGAGAACTGATTGATGATAGTATAGCTAGCTGCCCGACATATGAAACCTTATAATATAATACGAAAAAGTATTATTGATAAATGCTTTTAACAAAAATTAATAAACTAATAATGAGGTAATAATATGAAAGATGATTGAAAAATATGAGCATATTAATATACAGAAGGAACTTCTCACAAGTGTAGTAGCAGCTCAAGATTGTGTAAAGACTAGTGGTAAACCTAAATAATTCAGATTGGAGATATTGTCTTATTGGAAATGTGCTACATGGTTATTTGAACTATGAACATCTACTGTAAACTTTTGTAACAGTCCTTCTAACTAAATTTTTATTATATGCTTTGTTATCATCAGTATAAGCAGAGCATGTGTTATATCTTTTAGGCCCTGCTGGTACGGGGAAAACAGAGTCTGTAAAAGCATTAGGACACCAGCTAGGAAGATTTGTTCTTGTGTTCAACTGTGATGAGACCTTTGACTTCCAGGTATCATTTTATTTCTGTTCTTTCTCAGACAAAAATCAGAATATATAAGCAAAATAAAATTTGAAAACAAACTTAAAAACTACTGGATACTGAAGTATACTGTAATGGTGTAATTTAAAAATACTCTTTTGAGTTTTTATGTCATATTTGCTTTTCAAATGTACCTTTATTCAACACATGATTTCAGCATTTGATGTATTGAAGGAAGTCTAAACCTATATAAAAGCCAGTGTGTGTCACGTCATGCTTCATTTCTTGAAATAGGAGGAGTCATAAAAGCCAAAATGCATATATCCAGATAGAATAGTTTGATTCTGTCTGTCCATTACGATTTTAGTGATGAGGGAGCTGTGAAACCTTATAAGTG